ATATCGTCCTCTTTTGGAAGACCAAACAAAGTAGTTTCGCTTTCACAACGAAGCACACAGCGTCTTCAGGACATGGCTGCAGCGTCAACAATACTACAGCGAGAATAAAAGTTACGCCTTCTTTTTTTGCGTGAACATTTGGGCAGCGTTATGCAAATCTTCCCACATAGTGATGTAGATATGTGGGGGCGTGTTAGAACGAGCCGTTTTAGGTAGGTGTGGTTGACTCTTAACTTTTATAAAGAATATCTCTTTGGATTTGAGACTTTAGTCTTTGCAACTTTACAGATCTTCTTTATGCACCAAGAGCTTGTAACACTCCAAAGAGAAAGGAACAATTGAAATCGCATCATATGACCCCTTTAAGAATATTTCGTCTTGGTTTCAAACATTAGAGGAATGTTTCATTTGATAATTTTGAAACATTATGAGAATGTTACATTTCAATGTTCTCTCAACATTTAAAACACACTTTTTGTATTATATATATATATATATATAAAGAACATTTTTTGTTAGTTATATGAACAGTAGAGAAATATTAAATTCTATCATTTTGAAAATGTTATTATTACTGAAAAACGTTAATCAACTTTAGTTCTGGGAACGTACAAATAACATCATAAAGACGTTCTGAGAACATTGTTCTAAGAGCGTTTCCTCTCAGCATTACAAGAATGTATATCAAATATTAATAATGTCACGTTCCATAGGTTTTAAGTGAAAGTTCCCTGTGATCTGGGTATAAAGTACTATTTTCTTAATAATTACATCACTGATGAATCATTCACAATAAGACCAGGAACGTGAGTTAATACAGTCCATAGAGTCAGTTTTCTCTTTACACTGTTGAAGAATTACACTGATATCAATCTAGAACTGATCAAGACCTGTATGAGATAAACAGATTGCTGACTAATAACTGCATTTACATGTACATGTATGCATTTAGTGACTTACAAAAAGGAGCAAAAGCAATTTGCCAAAATGTTCTTAATATGCAATGCCAGGTTTATTAGATGAATACATAAGGAAGGAAGATAAAGAAGAAGCAAAGAGCTTTTTTTTTTTTTGCATGCAATGCAATGCAATGCAAGTTTATTTGATTTCATTCAGACAGAAATGAACGCCAGCACATCTTTTTCCTGTTTGCACAAGTGCTCTGATGCATCATCGTTTCTGAGTTCAGAACAAAGCTCTCTGAGCCGTGATGCCAGCGATTGAGGCGCTACGTCCCGCAGTGTGTTTATAAAAACACCAGCAACAGTTTGACTTCCACACAGCGACGCGAAGCGGCTCAGAGTCACGGCGGAGACAGGAAAACAACAGCACTCGCTTCCCATGAAGAGCAGTGACTGATGTGATGTCTGTTGTGTGAATGTTTAGCGTTCAGAGAGAGAATTTACACGAGAAATCACAGTTTTAATGAGGATCAGGGTCTGCATTGCTTTGAACTCTCTGACCCCTGACCTCTGCATTCTTCAGCTTCTGATTTAGTTTGTGGCATAATCTACTTTTCACCTTCTACCCACGAAATGAAGCATCTCAATATAAGAACTTACACTTGCTTATGATCTCTGTGTTGGTGAAAAACGGCCTTTGATGCATGCGTTTAAAGCGCGGTGGGAAGACGCCGATTGTTTTTCTCAGTGTGAGAGCGAATGATTTGACGTTATTTCTGTGTGAGTTTTTCCTGATTGCACAATCTCCTGGCACACATCATGCCACTGCACTGGGGGTGAAAGCCTGAGATTTATGAGTGAATGTTTCAAATAAAGCTCTGCTTGACAATGAGAAACCACATCACTGCACGGCTTTCATTCAGAGACCAAATAACAATCATTCACCTAAAAAAATCATGCATGTAGCTTGCATTGCATTCGGTTATGTGCACAAACGCACACAGTATGCATAAAGTTTGCATACTGTGTTTGCAGTATGCATAAAGTATGTGCATAAAATAACAGGAAGACCTGCTGCATTTGACAAAATGTGCAATGTAACGTGCAATACACTTAGCTTTTGTCTGCTAAATGCATAAATGTAAATAACCAAAGCTGTCTGCATGGAATACTGTATACCATAATGCAATGTGCTCAACTTGATCATCTGTGTCTTGTGTAGCATTTATTTCACAGATAACTGAATATTAAAAACACTTAAGCTATAAAGACAAGCCTCAGTTTTGTTAATAATTTTGCATATTGTTGGGCCTATTTAGTGCATGATACATTGTGTTTACTGCAACAGTGTTATTTTAGTATCATTGATTTGTTAATATGTTAAATTAGGTCATATATTTTCTATTTGTTTTCATTTGAATTTTGTTATTTTTTTGTTTGTTTATATAGTTTTTAATAAGTTGTAGTATCTGTTTATTTAGTTTTACTTATTTTAGTAACACAAATGAGAAATGTAGTTAATAAAATATACAATTAGTATAAAATAAATCAAATGTAAAATGAAAATGTATACTGTATATATATATATATATATATATATATATATGTCTATATATATGTGTGTAATTTTCATTTTAAATTTTATTTATTTTTTACTTTACATAAAAAATATAAAATACATTTTATTTATTTTATACTAATATTATTTCATATATATATATATATATACAGTTAATTTATGTATAATTCATTTAAAAAAAGATCTTTCTAACTTCAATGTCATTGTGATTGTGTCTTTTCGAAGTAATTTGCGAGATTAATGACCACAGATTTAGAAAACGGTGTTTATTATTTATTTATAGCATTCAGGACTCAAATGATGCGTCACTCAACAGAATTATATCTCCTTCAGAAGTTACATTTGTTTGGATGTCGTGCTGTTTCTCCTGAACCTATTTGCTTCACCCTGACGTCTGTGATCTTCTGCATCTGATGATCGACTCAGTAAACCGCACTGAAATGTGTAAAAGCAGAAGAAAGACATTTGTCCCCTGTTGTTCCTCCATGACAGGCTCTTGTGCTCTCTGACCCCGTGACCTTTGACACAGAGGTGGAAACTTGACCCTTAACATCATCAGAGCAGAGGTCAGAGGTCGTGTGTGTGTGTGTGCTGTAACACTCCAGTTTCTCCTTTAGCCTGATAACTGGCCGTCATGCATTAGTGAGGTGTGTGTGGAAGCGTCTCCTCTCAAATCCTCAACTTATCTCAGTACAAGAGCTAGAAAACCTGTGACGGAAACTCTGAGTAATAAAATACACTTCCTGTAGATCAGCTGGCTTTGCTTTCAAGACACAGAGGACATCAACACAGAACTATAACTAACTCTCTCTCTCTCCCTCTCTCTCTCTCTATATATATATAGGTCTACTAGTGCTGTCAAATGATTAATCACAATTAATCACATTCAAAATAAAAGTTTTTGTTTACATAATATATGTATGTGTACTGTCTGTGTGTATTTATTATGTATACTGTATATAAATATAATATAATAATAACGATAATAAATAAAAAGAAGTATCTTATGCTCATCAAGGCTGTATCTATTTGATCAAACATACATAAAAAACTGTAATTTTGTGAAATATTATTGCAATTTAAAATAACAGTTTTCTATTTTAATATGTGTTAACATGTAATTTATTTCTGTGCTCAAAGCTGTATTTTCAGCATCATTACTCCAGTCTTCAGTGTCACATGATCTTCAGAAATCATGCTAATATGCTGATTTATTATCAATTCATATTGTTTTGGGACCTGTGATACTTTTTTTCAGAATTCTTTAATAAAAGTTCAAAAGAACAGCGTTTATTCAAAACAGAAATGTTGTGTTACAATATAAACTCCTGTTCAAAAGTTTGGGGTCGGCACATTTATTCCTACTTTTTTTTTTATAAAGAAATCAATACTTTTATTCAGCAAGGATGTGTTAAATGGATACAAAGTGATAGTAAAGACTTATATTGTTAGAAAAGATTTCTGTTTTGAATAAATGCCGTTCTTTTTATCTTTTTATTCATCAAAGAATCAAAGAAAAAAAGTATCACAGGTTCCAAAAAAATATTAAGCGGCAACAGTTTCAACACTGATAATAAATCAGCATGTTATACTGATTTCTGAAGATCACGTGATACTGAAGACTGGAGCAATGATGCTGAAAATACAGCTGCGCATCACAGAAATAAATTACAGTTTAATAGTATACTAAACTACAAAAACAATATTAGAAATTGCAAAAATATGTCACAATATTACTGTTTTTTCTGTATTTTTGATCAAATAAATACAGCCTTGATGAGCAGAAGAGCCTCCATTAAAAAACATTTTGAACGGCAGTGTATATATACATATACATACAAGTATTTGTTTAGAGAATCTGACCTGAACTTTCTCTGATGGAGGAGAAGAAAAAGAAAACAGAACGTTTACAGGCGGATCGTTCGTGTGCCTCATGAATCAGACGATGAAAGATGGATGTTTTGGGAACACAGTTCATTTGACATTCATCTGCTGATCACATGTAAACCAGAGACTTTCTGTGAACACTTACAGTGGAGAGATTAAGATCAAGAAAGAAAGACACATAACACAAGACAACAAATGTGCACATTATGTGTGCGGAAAAAGTGCAATTAAGCAGGAAGTGCTGAGGTAGTATAGTTGACATCCTGACCATGATAAATAAAGACTTTAACACAATGAAGTATTGCACTTGTTGACATATAACCTTTTCAGTTCATTTAAAGAATTGGTCCAAATGAATTATACAAAAGAAAGAACGCAATGCAATTAAATGCAACAGTGTTTCTGTGCATATAAACAAAGAAACTGAAAAGCAACAATCTGCTGATAAAAGTAACTGATGCTTCATTCATCTGTTTGTGCTGAGCTCTTTTCGCTGCTTGTGATTGGACGAGCTCCGCGTCAGTCATCGTCAGGGGGCGTGGCTTTGATATCTCTCTCGCTGTAACGCGTGATTGAGACCCAGTTTGAGTGTCTGTGATTCAGTGACACGGACAGAGTCAGCATCACTGTAACAGCTTTACGAACACTTTTCACTCACTGCAAGCGTGCATCATTCCCAGCGAGGATCGCACAACTGAAAGTCTGTGGGAAGTTTGCCGAGCGTTATATATTTGGGATTTATTTGGATCTGAGACTCTGTGAACCACTATGTGTCACCAAAGCTGGTTTTTCAGTGTGCTGCTGCTGGGCTTCTGCGCTCGGGCCACTGGGGCTCATGACTCCAGGCTGGAGCTGGAGCTGTGCGGCGGACCGGACTGGACTCTGGGCTTCTGCGGATCCGGACTCACCTGCGCGGCGCTCAACAGAACCGGACCGGCGCTCGCACCTGAGACAGGTGTCTGCAGAGGTCAGTGACGCGCGAGAGCTTCAACACGAGCTCGTGACGCTGAATGCATGCTCATCGATATCATCAAAGAACAGGCATTTGCATTGCATTCGTGCAGTGTTGGGAAGGTTACTTTGGAAATGTAATAGGTTACAACCCTGCTGGAAAAAAAAAAATAGAAACCATCACAGAAATTCGAATGGTTTCAACTTTCTACCATTAAAACCATTAAAAATGGTTTTCAAACCATTTTTGGCTTTTCAGCCATCAAACCATTGAAAACCAGCTCTGGTGACACATCGATGAAGTTCACAGAGTCTCAGACGCGCAGATCCAAATAAATCCCAAATATATAATGCCATTAAAAATGGTTTTCTGTAGTGTGTTTTTGGGACATATTTCATTCGGATTTATTGGTTTTAACAAGCCACCAATAGAAGGCGACCAATTACCAGTAGAGACCCATAGGCACCATTACAGTTTCCATTAAAACCAGTACAATTCACATTATAACCAGTAAAAGCATTACAAATTCTGTGATGGTTTCTATTGTTGTTGTTTTTTAAAAAAAAAAAAGGGAAGTTACCCTATTTAAAATGTAATAAGTAGTGTAACTATTTCAATTACTTTATTAAAGTAATGTAACTGATTACATTTGATTACTTTTTGATTAATTTTCTAAATTACTTGCTGTTAGTCATTTTCGAAATCCGTCATCACTTAAATTAAGGTTATAATAATTTAATTTTAAAGCACAGCCATCACAAAATCAGACTTACTTTGAGATCGTTCCGAGGTTAAATACCATAACAAGAAACAAGTTTAGTAGCTATGATACTGTTTTTGAAATTAAATCTTTGCATGACAAGAAACACTGGCATATAACAATGGCTTGGGAAAAAAAACAGTTAATCTTAAAAAATAAAGCATATACATACATAAACCCAAATATGAAATAAAACCGTTATGGAATAAGCATGTGTCCTTTTCTGTCTCCTAAACTCCTGAAATATTGGTGTCTCATATTTCAGAGCAGCCAATGCAATCAAAAGAAATCAAGTAAATCTGTATTATGTAGGTGTGTGTGAAAATATTCAGATGTAACCCCCTTTGTAATCGTTAACATTTTCATAAGTAACTGTAATTTAATTACACATTTTTTCTCAGTAACTGATTACAATTACATTTATTTTGTAATTAAATTACGTAATTTAGTTACATGTAACTAGTCACTCCCCAACACTGCCTCAATGAAATTTTATTTAGACTTCAGAGAGTAAATATGACAACAGCATTCATGTGGATTCCAGCACACATAGGAATCAAAGGGAACACAATTGCAGATGTTTTAGCTAAGGAGGCATGCAAGCTAGATGAGGTTATATGGAAATCCTATACAGTAAATCGGAAGCAAAAGTAATAATTAGGAATAGTATAATAATATAAAGGAATGGCAATGTAACTGGGATTGGGAAGTAACAGGCAGACATTACTATAGAATCCAGGAGAAAGTAGGAAGGTATGTAAAGGTAATAATAAAACAGAAGGTATAATTACACGATTGAGAATGGGACACACGGGGTTAAATAAAACATTACATCTAATAGAAAAACATCCGACTGGTTTATGATCATTGTCAGGATGAGGAATCAGTGGAACACACAGAAAGAGAAATATTAAAGAAAGAAAATAGTAAACACACTTTTTTTTCATCATTATTATTATTATCTGGGAGGTAGCTGACTCAGGCCCACGCTCCAGTATAGTAGTAGGTGGCAGTAATGCACCTTATCGTTGGATGCCGACCGCCATTAAAACAAAGAAGAAGAAGAATGCATGTTTATACAGTGTTTAAGACCACCCATGATGAGGAGGAGGATGGTTGTGGGTCTTGACAGTTTTTCTGTAGTTTGGCTTCTTGTGCATCACGTTATGATTGATTGATTGATGTGGTTATGTTGATTGATATGATCAGTTTATACAATGGTACTTTGATATGTACTGTGATATTGATTAATATGTACAATAGCATGTTACTCCAACAACCATGCTAAAACCATGGGACTTATCCAAAAGCATGGTATTGCTATAATAATTTGTCCAAAATACTGTAGTATTACTGTGATACTTGTACAAAAATCATGGTATTTGCCATAGTATGTCCAAAATACTACAGTATTCTCATGGTACATGTCTAAAAACATGGTATTGCCCCCAAAATACTACAGTATTGTCAAGGTACATGTCTAAAAACATGGTATTGCCCCCAAAATACTACACAGTATTTTCATGGTACATGTCTAAAAACATGGTATTGCCCCCAAAATACTACAGTATTGTCATGGTACATGTCTAAAAACATGGTATTGCCCCCAAAATACTACAGTATTGTCATGGTACATGTCTAAAAACACGGTATTTGCCATAGTATGTCCAAAATACTATAGTATTGCCATGGTGCATGTCCAAAAATATGGTATTACCATAGTTACTTGTCCAAAATACTTTTGTATTGCCATATCGTGTCCAAAAACATGTTTTTTGCCATAGTTATTTGTCTAAAATACAAAAAAAAAATCATAGTATTGCCATAATGCCATATCCAGAAAATAATACCATTGTACTTTCAGTACTTTTTAGTCGGCTTACACTTCCCGTTCTGTTACAATGAGGTTTATAATGTCCAAACTGTGAAGTAATCAAGAATAATCAAGTTATTCGTGAGATTTGCTCAGTCAATGTGAATCTAGGTTTAGCATTCCGATCTAAATTTTCAGTTAGTTCATAGCTCTTCGATTGAGTAATGCCGCTGATGTAATGCACGAGATGATTTGGCTCACGACTGATCGCAGCGTCCTGTGATGTGATGTTAGGCTCCTGTCCAAGAGTTTAGTCAGGAGAAGGTCATAAAGGCAGGCTGGAGCTGGACTTTCTCCAGGTCTACACACTTGGATTGCTCCGGACGGCTGAGCGAAAGCAGAAGTCGGTCTGTGGGAAGGTTCCGGAGCTCAATTAGCCCTCGTCTTCATCTTCCTCCTGTGGGGTCTGTGGTTCATCCCGAGGGATCGCGTCCTTGATTGGGTTTTATTTACTAGGCAGTGTTGGGGTTAATTCTTTCATAAATGATCCGCTTTGAACGAGTCCGACTTACGGTTTTTTTTTCAACTGCTTACATTTTCAAAACTTTGCCTCTTTTTTTCAAAACTTTACACACAAATCCAAAACTTGCACACACAAAATGCAAAATGCATCACATCTCTTGCAAAACGAAAAAAACAAACACCTTTGGCATAATATTAATTCCTTTTAGATTTTTGAGTGTTACATACAGAATTGTGTGTGTTTTGCAAAAAGTGCTTTATGAAATTGAAAACTGAGTCAAAGGTCGAGAATTAGCGTACACTGTAAAAAATGATTGTGATTTTAACAGTAAAAGACTGTAAAAATGCTACAGTAAAAACCTGTTAATTGGTTAACAGTAAGTTTCCATAATATATTCGGTGAATAAATGAAATTACATTTAACATAATTTTACAGTAAAATACTGTTAAAAATTAGGTTTTTGGAAGTGAAAAAGAAAAAGTCATTGTATAATTTACAGCGAAAAACCGTAAAAATTGACACTCCCAGAATTCCCTGCATGACACTTCATAGTTAGATTTTTTGTTGAAATAACATGTTTCTTCTTAGTTTTTTCGTATCAGTTGTGTACATTAGGGTTTAATCTTACATCTAATGTTGTTAAATGAATGTTTATTGCATTATTTCAGTATCGTGTGTCACCATGATGGGGTTTAGTGTTAGTGTGAATGACACTGTGCTATATATAAGTATTGTCCTCCTCAGAAAAGCTGTTTGTGATGAGCTTTGGTTCATCATGTGACTTTCTCATCACCACCAGTTTTTGGTGGTTATCAGTGCATTACAATGGTTCAAAACAGATATTAGTACTTCAATGTGTTGGTTTATTAACATTACATCAGTTAATGAAATACGGTATTTTATTGTGAATTTAAGTCAAGTCTGTAAAACCTAAAATGTTGCTACCATATTTTTTACGGTGAAGTTCTGGCAACCACAGCTGCCGGTATTTTACCGTAAATGTCACAGATTTTTTTTTTACAGTGTATGGTTTTGCAGATTTGGTGTGTGCTTCTGCTGTTTGAGTGCCAGCGTTCAGAAACTGTGTGACAAGGAAATATTTTTTTGTGTAAGCAGTTGAAAAAAAAACTGTAATAGATGCTGTGATTGAGTTTGTCTGCAGGGTCTCGATCCTGAAATCAACACCTGAGTTACATCCCAGAGCCAGAACTCCTAAAGTAAAAAGCCTTTTTACTGCCAGTGCTTTTCAGGTTCAGATATTCTCTGTGTGGTCAGTTTTTAGAGGGAAATAAATGCAGATGTAATATGAGCATGTAGAAAATTTGAGGTTAAATAATGAGTGTCATTTTCCAGCCACTGACTAACCAGCATCTCTTTAGGATAGTAATACATTATTCATGATTGTCATCATTAATTACTTCTCCCCCCCATTAGCAAAGAAATTAATGAGGCTGTTTATATTCTGACATGGCTGAAGGCGAATGGAAGACGTGAAAATGAAAAGAGCTTGTTGAATATTGTATATCGGTCTTTTTTGGGGTACATCCATTTGTCATGCTCTTGAAAATAAATGTTCTAGTCATTGATGGTTCCATGAAGAACCTTTAACATCCATGGAACCTTTCCTTTGCAAAAACTGTTGATTAGATGATTCAAATGTTCTTCACATTAAGAAAAAATGGTTCTTGTGAATAAAGGAAACATAAATGATCTTCATTGGCATTGATGGTTCCATGAAGAACCTTGGAACATCCATAGAACCTTTCCATTGTTCTTCAAAGGGTTCTTCAACACTCTTTAAAAAAAAAAGGTTTCAAAGGAGGTCTTTGCAATAATGCCATAGAAGAATCATTTTTGGTTCCCCAAAAGGCTTTCTTAAAAGAATTCTGTTTTTTCTGTTTTAAGAACATTTTAATAAT